GCATGTTAGAAAGTCTAAACCATACAACCCAGGAAAATATCATAACACTCAATATTCAAATAACAATTATATTGATTTCACATAACAAGCCAAATAATATCTCAAAAATTCTTTTCTATGATAGTTATATTTTTATCATTTCTTTATTCCACTTTATCTCTTCCTTATTATCTCAGGATGAGATTCTAGGCGATAGGAGATGGTACTTGGCCAAAGGCTCCATCGCTCCTTATCAAGCCTCGACCTCCCCCTTTCGACTATAAGGAGTACCCAAATGGTGCCGAGCTTATCCCAACCTTGGTCAAAGGAATCAGAGTAGCTCAAATACATATCAAAGCTACCTAGTGCACACCACATATGGGGGCAAGTGCATGATCATGACCCAACCTTATTTCTTCAATTTAAATCCATAACCTGTAGCCACCTTATAGCAACAAAGTCCCAATATATTCCATATCAAATTATAATTTTCACAAGTATGTTTCAAAATTTACAATATTTATCATTCTATAGGCGTTATCAAATTTCATATATTATATCAATTCAAACAACTCAACCCAATCAAATTATGATCCATGCAAGTCTATCCAATCCTAGAAATTTCAAACAAGCAATTATAAAATTTTCAAGGATTTTCTACTGACCATAGTTTCACATAAAAGTTTCCAGAAATTTACTTTGTTAACCACTAGGCTAAGTTTTCACATAATGTTATTATAGGCATGCTATTATGTTTTATTTGATATTAGTATACAAAAAAGTTTAGTTATTTACCCATACTAGCATACAAGGTAACTTAAAAAGAAATTACCTAAGCTCAAGTTTACTCAAAGAACCTAAAGTCTATTTGTAAAAGGTCCGCCAACTAACTCAAATGTCGAAGCAGAAGTAAGGAGTCCCTTTAGAAACTCTTAACACAACTAAAAACAATAATTTAAAGAATTAAAGTCACATAAAATTTATATTTAATTATTTATTACTCTCAAATTATCCAAAGTACTTGTTGAAGCTATATTTAATTCTAGAACTATCTTCGTTACACTCTACTCATTTTATTTTGTCTATCTCAAACCTTAGAGTTTATCAAATATTCCCCAAATTAAAGCAACTCTAAATCATTTTAGGCATTAGTTTTTTAACTTTAAAGTGATTGTGAGCATGTTTTATAAGTCCTAAACATCTAATAAATAAAATTTTCATCCCAAAATAATTAAAATAAATTTCAATTAGTCATAATTTATTCCTTACATTGATATTTAATTTATAAATTGCCTTAGAGGGGTCAAAAATAATCTCTATAGCTCTTATAGCTCTTAAAATTACTTTGAGTCACTACTCAACAACTCTATCCAAGGTTCTCCAATTTTAAGTCAATATAGAACTAGTGATTTTAGCTAGAACAAGAATTTTATGACACTTACCCAGTCTTATAAAACCTCAACCCACTCTTGAAATGTCTAACTATAACTTCTTTAAAAATTCCCTCACCCGGAATGCTCGCTGATGCTCTCTCTCACGATCCTGCAGCTTTTGCTAGGCGCCAAAGCACGTATCTTCACTAAAACAATATGGATGAGTGTATCTATAATACCCTCGCCCAACCAATGGTGGTTAGAGCATAATTTGAGTAAGCTTGAATCCTCTTAAAAAGAGTTATAGTAGGGTTGGCCATATGAGATTTTTTAAGGGAGTAAGATATTTTAAACTCGATTCGAATAAGCTCGGCTATTGGAATTTTTAACTCTATGTGTAGTAGAGTTAGTTATTTTGGCCAAGTCAGACGAATCAACCCAAACTCGGCCAAAAAAAGTTAAAGTCGGGTTTAACTATATGGGTTTTTTAAAAAGATAAGATACTTTAAGGCCGACCCAAATTGAGCTTGACTCCAATAAAATAGCCCTGTGAATCACCAGCTCTAATGGTGGGCCATGAGCCCACCGTTGGTATAACATACTCCCTTCGTTAAAAAATATAAGGTATTTTTTTAGAAGTTGGATGTTCAAAAATATAAGAAATTTTTAGTGTTTCGAGGTGTAATCATTACTTTTTTTACATTACCCTTATTGATAATAACTTTATATTTATTGTAGGGTATTTAATAGGGATAAATATAAAAAGATAGGGTTAGTTGAAAAGCAGGTAACTACTTTATTGGGGAGTGAGATTCAGTTAAAAATGCTTTACTTTTTTAAACGAAGAAAGTATATGTCTATATATATATATATATCCCTATATATCTATATCATTGTTTTGTTTCTTTTTTTTTATTTTTTTATACTGATATTGCTTTTGTATGTGTGTTTATTTATTTATTTTTATCCTATCTCTTTTCCTATTTTTATTTTCACCTTATGTGTGTGTGTCAGACCTTACTTTCTACCCATATTTTTTTAATACTTTTAATCCTATAGTATAACTTATTTACTACTAATTAAGTTTCTTTTAAAAATCAAGAATTAAATCTTAATTATATTTGGTTTCAATACAATTTAAATAATATTCAAATAAATATAATTTCTTAAATAAAATAGTTAAGATCCTATTTATTTAATCTCTCTCAACTTTATAAATTTCTCCTCCTAAATTTTTTTTTCATATTAAATCCTCAAAATTTATTTCATTTTGAGTAAATTCTTCTTACTCAAACAATTACATGGTAAATTCAAATTTTCATGAAATAATTTCTTCCTAATATTAATTAAGTCATAAAATTTAAAATATCAAAACTTTTTTCCTAAACCCAAACGATCTTAAACACAATCTTATCTTATCCTTAAACTATCAGCATAATGGTACTAATGTTGCCTACTTCTTCACTTTATAGGAGAGGTCGTGGGATCAAACCCCAAGGGTGTGCATTACACCAAATCCTTAGGAATTCGATCATTAGAAAGGCTTTGAGATGACTATACTATCAACATACCCTATCTTAAGTAAATTTGGTTTGTTTAGATTATGGTTTTGTGTAAAGCAATGGTCCACCTGATAGTTCTGAGTTTTAAAGGATTCAAGGACCATACTTACTTAGGTAGGCCACTTCACCATGTTGTGAGCCAGACTTGCCATTATTTGATCCTTTGTTGGATTCAATGCTTCACTTACTTAGTACAATTCTTATTATAGCCGTTGTGTCCTTTTGAATAGCCATTGTTTCAGTTTTAGCCATAACACATTTCATTTTAAAAGTCAAACAAAACAAGTAGCTTTCACTCTCGGAGCCTCCGCAGCAAAAATTCTCCGCCTCCCTTGCCGGCCTAAAATCTTGCTCGATCAGATAATCGAAAAGTCCATAATGTGCCACGTCATAAAACTATTAAAAATGTATTTGACCATTTATTTGAGCTACATCTTGGCCATCCATTTCTGGAACTTTTAAAACACGTTGAGAAACACATTAAAAACTGCATATATATATATATATATATATATATATGTCAACCTTCTGCAACTTTGTGGCTGAGCTTGGGGATAAAGCTTCTAAGAGGTAAGGTAAGATAAAAGTAACTATTTTTCCCCCCCGTAAAATAAGGTATATCTTTTTTATATTTGCACTTTATTTTTATTTTAAGGGATCGGAAAGATCTTGATTCTTCCAAATAGTTTTAAAAATTTAAATAGAGCTATATATATATATATATATACTGATCACCTCCCGCAACTGTTGGGACTTGGGTCAAGGAAAAAAAAAATCTAACTTTATTTATCATGAAACACCCAATATGTAATTAATCTGGCACTTACTTGAAAAAGTCATGTGCTTTCGTTAAATAGGACAATTTATTTTTTTGTTTGTGAATGGGGCTTACATATATGGAGGGTGCTATTATTTGTAATTGACATTGGATATGTTTCTTAATCTCACCAACATATAAACTTAGTTTCACTATAGCTTTCACAGTCTTTATATCAAAAACAAAAAAGACAAAAAAAACTTTCACCCTCTGCAAGGTTCAATATAGAATATGATATACATACTTGAAGTAATTACTAATAAATGTAAAAGGATCAGGAGAAAAAAAAATTTAAAAATTAAAAGAGGGTCAGCTTTAAAAAGATTCATTGGTCTTCTATTGCTTTAGTAATAACATTAACAACTCTACCATTTTCAATATTATACATTTGACAGGCAATAACTCACGAAAATATTAATATTAAATAATCATCACCCATCTGCAATCTCTAATGCTATTTGTTTTTGTATGCTATCATAGCCAATTGAAGTGCCAGCACCAGCAATCCCATAGTCATCAATTACAAGACCAAGCAATAAGTGCTCAAATTCTTCAGATATTATATCCTCTCTCTTCACCCAAGGATGCTTTTCGTGAGAAATCAAGACCTCTAATTCCATTGCGATTTCTTTCATAGTTGGTCTTTCCTCTGCATTGAGTCTAATACACCTCCTTGCTAATAAAGCAACTTCATTTAGCTGTTCTGCATTCTTCTGTTCCAACACTTGCTTGTCAAGAATCTCCCAAAAGTTGTCTTCCTTCATTGAAGTTGCAAAGTACATAGCCAAATTTCTTTGCTCTTCTTGCCTATTGAATTCAACTACTTTATTCCCAGTGATTAGTTCCACAAGCACAACCCCAAAGTTATAAACATCACTTTTCTCATTTAATTGCCCTGTAAGAAGGTACTTCAGATCCAAATATCCTAGAATTCCTTGAACTATATATAGTAGTAATTTGAGTTTTGTCAAAAGGAACAAGTCTTGAAGCTCCAAATTGAAACTTTTGCTTTGTGATTGTGATCTAATAGTGTGTTGGCAAATTTAATATCTCAATGGATGATTGGAATAGAAGCAACAGAATGTAAATATGAAATAGCTTTAGCTACCTTTACTGCAATCCTTACTCGAGTATTCCATAGAAGAGAGTGCTTGTTCTTTTGTGAGACTATATGGTCAAAAAGGGTGCCATTGTCCACAATCTCATAAGCTAATAAAGGAACTTCAGTTTCAAGACAACATTTCAAAAGTTTAACCACATTCCTATGATTGATTTGGAAAAGTATAGCCACTTCATTAATAAAATCCTTGATTTGTTCAGGATCCCCTCCTACTCTAGACTTTTTAATGGCAACAAGTGTGTTATTTGGTAATATACTTTTGTAAACGGTGCCTTGTCCTCCACGAGACCACAACCAAGGATTCTAGTTTTACCAAAGTTGTTTTTGGCATTTTTGAGCTCCTCTTCAGTAAATATATTGGTTCTATCAATGTGCCCTTGTTGTTGATGAAGTTGCTGCAGCACATTTCCTCCATTTTGCTCGAAATATCTTCTCCTAAGTTGTTTCAGTGCTCTTTGCGTGTGTCCGCAACACAATGTAGAGACCAACGTGAAGACAACAAGCAAACCTATTGAAATGCATGCAAACAAATGTTGCTCAAAATATTGATACAAAGGATGTGTTTGTCAATTGATGACCATAACAAATTAATGCTAGTGCGCTTCGTTTACTTCCCATTAATCCATCATCTCCAGCTGGCCCAATATCCTTGTGATTCTCTCTTGAGAGAGTCTTTTGGGGAGAGAGATGTGTGTGTGGGCCCATCGTGATGTATGGCCACACTCCCCCTTTCTCTACTTCCCCCAAGACTTCTCCTTCGGTCAAAGAAAGAATAAAAATTATAAAAAAGAAAGAAAGACAAACTCATTTTGGTAATCCTTTGAATAAATTAAAACAAACACTATTTCTCTAAACACTGACAGGAGGTTTAAACAAATTGTTTCGATGCGATTGACACAGCTTAAATAAAGATAGGACATATGTCATTAATTATAAAGCTGCTGATCTGTTAATTGACTTTTACAACATTTAGCTATATATATGTGTGTGTGTATCCTTAAAATATAATGCCAAAATTGTTTAAACCGGCCGGTCAGTTACCTTTTATTTTTATTCAGAAATTCAGATTATATTTTTTTTAATCCAAAGCAATCGGTTAGCTATATATATATATATATATATATAATTCCTTTAAAAATTAAGGATATTAAATTATTTTGAACCACCCTCTAATTAAAATTTACATCTAATCTATGATGATATTTCTTGAATGTGATTGCAATTGAATACATGGTAAAAACTTAGAGGATGGATGCCGAACGAGAAGATTTACAGTAAATCTGACCTACTGAAATTTGCATGACAAGGGATTTGCAGCCTGATCCGTTTTTGTAGCCGTCGCCCCTAAATCCTGGCGGACAAGAACACGTATAATTGCCTTCCACATTCTGGCATCTCCTACTGCACCGATTCTGTCCTTCGCACTCATTAATATCTGCAAATTTAATCAACAACCTTATCGTATTTCTTGGTGAATAAAGTTGAAATTAAGGAGGCTGGATTTGTTTCAAAATTGTTAGTGACGGAAAGATACCGTCTGAAAAAGAGGGAAGAGAACAAATAAATAAGATTGATAAAAGGACAAAACATATTAATTTAAAATCAGAACTTAAGTTTATGAATTATTTTCCTTTTATTATATCAATGTTATTAAGCCTAATTTTATTGATATGAAAATTTCACATAAGCACTCCAGATCCAATACTTGAATAACCTAAAAGAATCTAGCCTTTACAGCCTGTGCCGGGGTCAGAAACATAGGGGTTGCCTTGGAACCCAGCTTTACACAAGCACTGGTACCCAACGCCACTTACCGAGCCTTGGCATCTGCTGTTGTGCTTACAGGCATAGCTCTCGTATTTTTCTGGGCTTCGTCGCATGTCCGATCCCCCACAGCCCAATCCACAACCACTGGAAACTGTGTTCTGCCGCTCAGATCGAGGAGGTCTCGAGAGGAGAAGTTGAAGGATCCGTCCTGGGAAAGGATAGCGTAGCCGCAACGGTTGAAGTCCCTCACGTTCTTGTAGTTATCAAAACTAGTCAGATTGATGGTATAATTCCTGATAGCTCTGGGGAAACCGGTCTGGCAGCATCCCACACCTGAACACGATCCATCTTCAAACTCGAAGTTGTTGTTACTGCAACTCAACATGCAGCCAGTATGAAATCCGCTTCCGGTCAAGTCGCTGATGGAAGCGGCGGTGTCACGGCCCACCACCGTGAATCTGTTCTTGGTGTTTAGAAAACTTCTCGAACCACATCCAACTGGAGTAGACTGTAAAGCTGGAATCAAAGCAGTGATTGGTAACGTCTAACAAGACGGTGAATTCAGGAGGATCCAGGGAAATATTCAGAACTGGCATGTTAGAGCCGTAAATCAGTTGTGTTGTGGCTTGTCCAGATGGGGACGTCATGGTTGTGCAGTTGAGAATGAACCATTCATCTATGTAGCAGTTCTCGCTCGTGCCAAAGGGATAGGGAATGATCACGTTCCCACACGTGGTGACGCATCCCGGTTTCGTTTGTGCCGCCGCCGCCGCCGCCACAGTGCAGATCAGCAATACCAGTTTCAAGAGCGTTGCATTATTCAAACCCATCATCAGGATTTTTGGTGTGGAAAATATTCAGGAACTCAGAGCTAGGTAGCCAATATATGCGAGTAGAGCTGAGAATAAAGGCCAGCTCAGGTTTGTAGGCCCTATTTAAATAAAGGTTTGGGTTTTGAAAGTTATTTTTTTTTCAAAGGAACCAAGCTTGAGGGCTTGACCCTGACCCTGATAAGCCTTGTGAAAAAGGGCTCGGGCCCGGGAGGCCCTCCAAACCCTGATAAGCCGATTATTATATATATACATACATACATACATATATTTGATTGATAATGACATAATTTGATTAATATTTATTGTAAATGATGAAGAAGAAGTTGTAAAGGTAATTAACATTGAATTTCTACCTCCACCTCCATTCTTCAATAAGTACATTTATATTCGAGAGATCTAATGTTTTATTTATAGATGATGAGGATGAAGAGGATTTGGGTTTTGATTGATGAATGTGTATTGTTTAGATTTCTAAATATATTGTTTAATTTTTAAAATATTGTGTGAATTTTAATTTTTTAAATTTCAAAATATTTTAATTAATTTATAATATTTAATTTTATTTTATTTTATTTTATTTTTTTTAACAGGGCTTTCAGGCCCAACCTTGAGCCCTTTACATAAGGGCCGAGATTAAAAAAGGAACTAAAAATAAATAACCGAGCTCAAGGGCCTAGGCCCTTAAGGGCTGAGCCCATAAGAGCTAGGCTCTTAAGTGTCGGGCTCGCCCGTATTCCCACTTGTAGTTGTAGAGAGCGTCTCTTAATTTTTCTCATCAAGTGAGAGATGGGGAGAACTTGAACGAGTCCAAGTTGTCGGATTTTTGTTCTTCAATAAGGGTACCATTGTCCACAAACTCATATATTAATGAGTTTCATCATGTTCACCATAAGAGAAAGGATGATTTAATTTATTTTTATCTTTTTTTAATTTATTTCATTTTATTTTTTTTAATAATCAAATGAAACCTCAATTTCACTATAGCTTTTACCATCATATCAACTTTCACCCTCTTCATACCCAAAAAAAAGAAAAAAAGAAAATTCACCCAATGCAAGGCTCAATATAGACATGATATATACACTTGAAGTAGATACTAATAAATGTAAAAAGAGCAAGATAAAAAAAATTAAATGTAAAAGGATCAAGAGAAAACAAAATTAAAAGTTAAGAGGGCCTACTTTTAAAAGACTCATTGATCTTCTAATGCTTTAGTAACATTACCAACAACAACTCTACCATTTTCAATCTTATATTTTTTAACTAGCAAACACAAAAAAATATTAACATTAAATAATCATCGCACATATGCAATCTCAAATGCTATTTGTTTTTGTATGCTATCATAGCCAATTGAAGTGCTAGCGCTAGCAATCCCATATTCATCAACTACATTATCAAGCAAGCGCTCGCAATCTTCAGACATCATATCCTCTCTCTTCACCCAAGGATGCTTTCCGTGAGAAATCAAACCCTCTAATTCCATTGCTAATTCTTTCATAGTTGGCCTTTCCTCTACATTAACTCTAATACACCTCCTCGCTAAGAAAGCAACTTCCTTTAGTTATTCTGCATTCTTTTATTCCAACACTCGCTTGTCAAGAATCTCCCATAAGTTGTCTTCTTTCATTGAAGTTGCAAAGTACATAGCCAAATTTCTTTGTTCTTCTTGCCTATTGAATTCAACTGCTTTATTTCCGGTGATTAGCTCCACAAGTACAATCCCAAAGCTATAAACATCACTTTTTTCATTTAATTGCCCTTTAAGAAGGTACTCTGGATCCAAATATCCTAAAGTTCCTTGAACTACAGTAATAACTTGAGTTTCATCAAGAGGAACAAGCCTTGAAGCTCCAAAATCCGAAACTTCTACTTTGTGACTGTGATCTAATAGTATGTTGGTAGATTTAATGTCCCGATGAATGATTGGAATAGAAGTAGCAGAGTGTAAATATAAAATAGCTTCAGCTGTTTCTGATGCAATCCTTAATTGAGTCTCCTATGGAAGTAAGTGCTCGTTCTTTTGTGGGTTTATATGGTCAAGAAGGGTGCCATTGTCCACAAACTCATAAACTAACAAAGGAACTTCAGTTTCATGACAACATCCCAAAAGTTTAACCACATTCCTATGGTTAATTTAGAAAAGTACAGCCACTTCATTAATAAAATCCTTAATTTGTCTAGGATCACCCCCAACTCTAGACTTTCTAACGGCAACTAGTGTGTTATCTGATAATATGCCTTTGTAAACTGTGCCTTATCCTCCATGACCAAGGATTCTAGTTTCATTGAAGTTGTTTGTGGCATTTTTGAGCTCCTCTTCAGTAAATATCTTAGTTCTATTAATGTATCCTTGTTGTTTGATAAAGTTGATGCAGCATATTTCCTCCATTTTGCTCAAAATATCTTCTCCTAAGTTGTTTCAATGCTCTTTGCTTGTGTCCCCAACACAATGTAGACACCAATGTGAAGACAACAAGCAAACCTATAGAAACGCCTACAAATAAATGTCGCTCAAAATATTAATCCAAAGGTTGAGTTTGTCAATTGGTGACCATAGTTTTGAACTCTAAATGCTAGTGCTTCGTTTACTTCCCATTAATTAATCCTTATCTGGCCCATTATCATGGTGTTCTCTCTTGAGAAAATCTTTTGGGGAGAGAGATAAAGGTTGTGTGCGGATCCATTGTGATGTATATATGGTCCGTTGGCCACACTCCCCCTTTCTCTACCTCCCCGAGTCTTCTCCTTCAGTCGAAGAAAGAATTAAAATTATAAAAAAGAAAGAAAGACAAATTCATTTTGGTAATCCTTTGAATAAATTAAAACAAACATTGTTTCTCTAAATACTGACAGGACGGCATGCAAGTTAACCAATGGGACACCGCATAAACAAATTATAAAGATAGGGACATGTCATTAATTATAAAGCTGCTGCTGATCTGTTAATTGAATTTTACAACATTTAGCTATATGTATATCCCTAAATTATAATGCCAAGATTGTTTAAACCGGCCGGCCGGCCTGTAGAATCCAAAAATCAATCGCTTATAATGTATGTATGTGTGCGTAATTTCTTTAAAAATTAATTACGGATATTAAATTATTTTGAACCGCCCTCTGATTAAAATTTACATCTAATATATGATGTGGTATTTCTTGAATGCGCATGATTGCAATTGAATATGGTAAAAAATTGGGTGAAGGGTTATTTTTGTTCCTAAACTATACATAAAAAGTTACAAATAACTTTAAACTCAATTATGAGTCAATTTTATTCTTCAACTTTAAAGTTTTTCTTCTCCATGACCCAACATTTTTTTACTATTAGTGAGCTTCACATTATATTTTTTAATTTTTTTTATTATCAAATGTTTGAGTTGAAGGTGTCCACTAACCCTATGAATAAAAGTTGAAAGGTAAAAATGACCTTTAACTTTATAAAAAATTTAAAAAAAATAATAAGCCCTACTGATGACTAATAGACATTAAATGTTTTTAGTATTAGGGTAATGACAAAAGGAATTTTAAAGTTAAAAATAAAATTAATCCATAATTAAATTTAAAATCATTTGTAATTTTTGTATATAACTTAAGGATAAAAATAACTACTGACCTGTGTAGGATGAATTGGCTAAGGACTAAGGTAAGTCAAAAGTCAAGGGTTCACTGTTCTTACCCAATGAAATTTGCATGACAGGGAATTTGCAGCCTGATCAGTCTTTATAGCCATCGCCTCTGTATCCCAGCGGACAGGAACACGTATAATTGCCTCCCACATTGTGGCATCTCCTGCTGCACCCATTATCTCCCTCGTACTCATTAACATCTGCAAAATTAATCTCTAATATCTGATCATATATTTCTCTAATAATCACCGAAAATTCAAAATCTTGTACCATCAGATGCCATATATATCTCAAACAAACTTAGAGGACGAGCTTATTATATATTTTTGGGCGTGAGAACATGCAGGGAAAGTGGCAATTAAGCTGAATGCTACTGTGTGGTCTCTCTATCTCTCTCTCACACACACAACCTAAACATATCAACAAACGTGGTTGAAAGTTAAGTAACTGACCTTTACAGCCTGTCTCGGGGTCAGAGAGGTAGGGGTTGCCTTGGAACCCAAGCTCACACGAGCATTGGTACCCAATACCACTTACTGAGTCTTGGCATCTGCTGTTCTGCTTGCAGGCATAGCTGCTTGTATTTTTCTTGGCTTCATTGCATGTCTGATCGCCGACAGCCCAATCCAGAACGACGGGAAACTGTGTTGCGCCGCTCAGATTAAGGAGGGCTTGAGGGGAAAAGTTGAAGGATCCGTTCTGAGAAAGAAATGCATATCCGCAAGGGTTAAAGTCCTTGACGTCCTTGTAGCCGCCAAAACTAGTAATGTTGATGGTATAGTTCCTTATGGCTTTGGGGAAACCGGTCTGGCAGCATCCCACGCCAGAGCACGACCAGTCCTCGAAGCTTTTCTTGTTGCAACTCAACGTGCAGCCAGTTTGGAACCTGCTTCCCGTCAAGTCTCTGATGTATGCGTCAGTGTCACAGCCCACCACAGTGAACCTGTTCTTGGGGTTTGATATAGAGAACTTTTCGAAGCTTATCCAATTGGAGTTCCATGTAAAATCAGAATCGTAGCACTGGTTGGTAACGTTCGCCGAGACGATCAATTCAGGAGGGTCGACGGAGATGTTGAGAACTGGTATGACGCCACCCCTCAGATGCGCTATGGGTTGTCCGGATGAGGACGTGGTGGTTGTGCAGTTGATGATGAACCTTTCGTCTATGTAGCAGTCATCGCTTATGCCAAAGGGATACGGGATGCTCACGTTCCCGCACCGGCGGTTGCAATCCTCGGCCGCAGCTGCAGCCACCGTGCAGACCAGCAATACCAGTTTCAAATGCGCTGCACTGTTCAAACCCATATCTCAAAGCTGTAATGGTATGTCGAGGATTTTTAGCGTGGAATATATTCAGGAATTAAAAAGCCAGGCAGTTAATGCATATATAGATTACTAGTTTAAATCCTAGTCATTTCAATACACGAAAGTGGGAGATAGAGGACTGGACTTGAACGAGTCCAAGTCCAATTTATGAAAGCCACCTCAAGCCAAGTACATTCATATCTGGCCAGAAAAGAAAAGCCACACTGGGCTGCACTTACCAAATCAAAACATGCGGATTATTAGCAACACACAGGTAATTTGAATTTAGCACATTTTGTGAGTTTTTAATTCAAATTAATAAAGATATCTTACTGTTTCATTAACTTCAAGATACTTATCCCAAGGTCAATGTTGGCACTCCTGCCAGAGAGGAGGCCACATAAACATGGATTTGCATGGATTTGAACTAACCCCAGTCTTGGGAATACTGTCCTTCAATGTAACTCTCGACAAATCATTATATTATTTTATTTTGTCTTTCTTAAATTAAAATATTATTTTATATGATTGATAGTTAAAATTTTGATATCATTTGCTTACCTTCTTTCATTTAATATAAAAATTAAAATTTAATAAAAAGAATAAAATTTGAAATAGAATGAGCTGTACACAACCTCATTTACCATATAACAGAAGCATGGATGCAACCAGAATTTCTCACGTAGCTTTGGCATGACATTACAAATTGAACTGCATGTTACGGTTCAATAAAGGATGACCAACTATGTATAATATATAGCTGCATGGACAATTAGAGCACAATTCAATGTAATGTGATAAATTGAAAGCCACCTAGGCTGCCCAATACCAAGTCAAAATATGTGGATCATTAGCAACGCACGGGTAATTTGAATTTAGCACATTTTGTGAGTTTTTAATTCAATTTAATAAAGAATATCTTACTGTTACATTAACTTCAAAATACTTCTCTCATGGTCAATGTTGGCACTCCTGTCAAAAAGAAGCATCCGAGCCAGCTTCTTCCTGTAACCAATCGAGGAAAAACCTCCATTAGTGTTCTGAAACACATCCTCAAGTATATGACTTCAGTTTCTCTCCAGGTGTGTTCAATTCTGTCCCGTCCAGGTGCAAACAAATTACAAGTATTCTGTTTAGAACTTATCAAAATAGCCTTATTGAGCTGTTTCAACTTTCAATAAAGTTTGAAGTTGGATTCCTGCCTTTTCACACCATTCAACCTCATTTCGATTCCACTTGTGGCTTCAGTCTATCTCATTTCCAGATAATAGAAATAGCATCTCTTCCACTTGTGGATTCAATCTATCTCCTGATAAGAATATATGAACTCTCCCCCTCAAGATGATCCAACTACAACCAGGCGTCTTCATCACTCCTTTCAAACTCATTTTTCTCCTCAACTTTGTCTCCTCAATGTGCATACCACTCACTGCACAAATATTACAAAGTGTCACATAGCCCGCAGCATTAACAGGATCCAACTCAAAGAGTCGTTTGGCTGCATGCTTGGCAACATTTGAATCTGTTTTGCTCAACCCGCATACCCCAAGCAGTGCCCCCCAAATGTCACGATTTGATTCGATAGGCAGCTTGAAGACAAACTCCTCAGCTTCCTTCACCTTTCCTGCTCGACCTAGAAGATTGATCATACTAATGCAATGCCCCAAACCAGGTTGAAGTGCATAATCATTAGTCATGGTACTGAATAATTCCCAGCCTTTGTCAACAAGCCCTGCATTACCACATGCTGTCAGGATGCCCAGAAAAGTTACAGAATCTGGGTAAATTCCAAGCTCAAGCATGGTTTCATACACCTTTAAAGTTTCACTGGACATCCCATGATCTGAAAGGCCCATGATCATGGAGTTCCAAGAAACTATGTCCCTGTAAGTCATGTTAGAGAATACGTTATATGCATCACCTATCTCCCCACACTTTGCGTACATTGAAATTAAGGAATTCTCGAGAATTAAATCATACTCGTATACTGTTTTTATCTTCAATCCATGAAGCTGCCGTCCCTGGTCAAGATATGCCATCGCACCCATGGCTCCAAAAAGAACAGAGTATGTTGAATTTAGAGGCGAAACACCCTGAGACCTCATTTCTGCAAATAAGCTCGTGGCTTCAGGAATAAGCTCGTTCTGAACATAACCATAAATCATTGAAGCCCATGCAATGGCGTCTCTGTCAGGCATGGTCTCAAATATATGCCAGGCCTGTAATATTTCCCCTGCATTAAAATAGCCAGTAATCATGCAAGTCCATGCAATTCTGTTTTGGATGGGAATCTTATCAAACAGAATTCGAGCCTTGTGTAACTGACCAATCTTAATATAACCATTAATCATAGAATTGACAGACTGACTATCATAGTTAGTCGAATTCTTGTCAAAGATCTTGTTTGCAAAATCCATAAGACCAAAGACAGAGTACATCTGAATGAGACTTCTACATAACCTCCCATCAAAATCATCTCGATCACAGCCTTTAATGAGCATCTGAGCATGTAACTGCTTGCCAAGACACGAAAAACCTAACCTTGCACATGCATAAGCCAGAGAAATGAAGGTTTCTCCATTTGGTTGTGCATCAGAAAATCTCATTCTCTGAAAAAGCAACAAGGCCTCTTCATACAAGCCATTCCAAGTGAACCCACTAATCATGGCTGTCCAAGAAACAACATTTTTCTCCGGCATTGACCAGAATAAACTATGAGCCTCTCCCACATTGCCAACACGACAATAACCAGATATCATGCTAGTCCAAGTTATCACATTCTTGTATTTCATCTCATCAAACAAAATTCTTGCTTCTTCCATCCTATCGTTTTTGGCGTAACCTGAAATCATAGCATTCCAAGAAACCATATTTTTGTCAGGAATTTGGTCAAACACCTGTCTTGCTTCCTCCAACCTTCCATTACTAATCAACCCGGTAACTAATGAATTCCAGGAAACAACATTCCTCTCAAGCATTACACCAAACACCTTCCTTGCATCTCCAATCCTCCCAGAATCAGCCAACCCGCTAAGTATCGAAGTCCACGAAACAACATTCTTATATGGCATCTGTTTAAAAAACTTACAAGCTTCATTCAGCCTACCAGATTGTAGATAACCCGACAACATGGCATTGTAAGTAACAATATTTCTACGAGGCATGATGTCAAACAAGACTCGAGCCTCGTCCACATAGCCCTCTCGCGAGAACTTGGAAACCAACGAAGTCCAGAGAATAAGCTGTTTATGGAGGTCTGCACGGTGGGTTGTTTCAAGAAAGTTTCGTGCTTCCTGATGCCAGCGTTTAGATAGATAATGGAGGAGCAAAGAATCATCGAAAATGGGTTGTGGGTCATTTTTCCAGGGAAATTCAACCTGAGCTGGCAAAGGTAGAGAACAGTTTTTACGAGATTGAAGATGAGAAGAGATTTTGGAGAAAGAAGGAAGACGAAAACCCGTGAAACAATAGGCAGGCATCCACTTTTTCCCCACAACGAATTGGAAGCGCCTCAACGAATCATAACTACAATTCCGAACTTCGAAGTATGGGTTTGAAATCGTTGCGCGCAACACGGGCTCCTTAGATAGTTAGATGCGTTGCTGCTCTAACCACACGCCCCCACCCCAAAAAAAAAAAAAAAAAAACATTGGACGGGTTTTGCATATCTTCTCAAATATATTCTTGCTTTATTATATTTCACTTGAATAATTAATAAAAATATTTTAAATGAATTAAATATTATATTTATTATATTTAAAAATATAATAAAAAAGATGCAAATTTTTTTATAAAATCAAATTTTTAAATAATTATTTTTAAAAAAATGAATTAATTAACAATGAATTATATTCTTATCTAAAGGAGTATTAAGTTAGGCTATTGTAGTCTATACACTCAAAAATCAAAATGAAACCTAAAGCTAAAGGTTACTAAAAATAAAGTTAATGATCATTTTTATTTTTAAAATATTTACTATCCATAATTTGATTTTGGATCAAAATGAGTTCAAAACATTTGAAAGCACATCCATTTTTATCATATCCCATGACATGAAGTCAAATTTAAATTCCACTATTGAATTGCACCAAACTCATAGTTAAGCAATCCAACAAACCAAAAAAAATTGTACCATCTATAATATTTAAAAACAAAACATTGGCTTCAAACTCACTTCTTTTTTCTTAATAAAAGATAAAATATTATAAATATTAAAAGGATACCAAATAGACAATAAAAAGTCATAAATTCAAAGCATTAAAACCAGTCCAAGAAGAAAAATAAAATACAGAGAAGATAAAATAATATTAAACAAATCCAAGAAGGAATCTCATATAATGCATGGAACCTTGTAATAATTTTGAGCTCATTTGATTTGTTGTAGCAAATTAATCTGATTAAACATTCCACGTAACAAAATCAATTAGTTTTCTTTTTAATCCGCGATAGATTAACATTTTCTAAACAAAAATGACTCCATTTATCACACCAGGGAGAATTTTAATTGGGATGGTAACGCTTAAGATCAAAAACGGTTCATTTTATTTCAACAAAGTCCCAACAAATTTAAATGCACAGGAAGTCTCTCATGTCTCTAATTGATCTTTTAACAAAATAAACTTATAAATTTACAATCTATTTTTTTAAAAAAATTATAACGTTCTTTGCTTTAATTTGCAATTCAGTTTCTCAATCTAATTTAAAAACACTTTTTTTATTAAAAAATTCATCATTGAATTTTATAATATTATTTATTCGGCCCCAAGAATTTGTAACTTACTCCCTTAGAATTGCAAATTTATCTACCATGATTTACAGCTTTATATTCTAATTTTATTTATGAGCATAATCTCAATATTTATTTTTCTAATAAGAAATTACTTGTTCCATTCCAAGAATTTTCGATTTACACCATTCCCTCAGCTACGAGCTTCCTACAAATCATCGTTCAAGCAACTCAATAGTAGCCTAATGTTCCATCACACTGACTATTAAAATCGAAGCTAAAGCTATGCACAATGTTGATAAGGCTATCTTGACTTTCTGGGCGCTAAATATTAACATTTTCTGAGACCTTAGAGAGGGAGAGGACAGGAAACACATGGAGAGGACTCGACTCAATGCTGACTTCAGCTTTCGTGATTCAGTACATGAGGGCCTTCAAGGTGGTAATTGGGAGATGAGAGGGGGATTACAAATGGATTTGGAGTGCAAAGGGTGAAGAGTGAGAATGGTGAGAGTCAATATAAACAAACATATGTTGTCTACTTGCTGCAAGCATTATACTACTTATGACTTGGTTTGCTAGGTACAATTTCAATGTTGTGGTAAGATTAGTCAAATCTAGTTCTGACATTATAATGTTAACCAAGAGTTATGATTAATGTGATGATCTCAATATTTCTATTGTAGGTTACACAGCAAGACTTGGAGGACACTTAACCCCCATTTCGTAGTTGTATCCAACAAGGAAAAGCAAGCTGCTTAATGTGTTCCTATAACAGAGTTAATGGTGTTCTTGCTTGTGTGCTAATGAGGATCTCTTAAGAATAGCTAGAAAAGACAGCGTCATTCAGGGGTAAAAAATGAAAGGAACTTTGATTGACATGATTATATATATATATATATATATATATATGAGATAGTTGACATTACATCTTCACTTCTACCTTCAACAAATGAACCAACTTCTAAAGGCTCTAACATTCTATTTCTAGATGATGATGACAAGAAGGATTTAGATTGATAAGGATTTTCATCTGTCTTAAATTTAAACTTCAAAATTTATTTTATTTATTTTCTAGATGATAATCTGGATTTGTTTTATTTATTTTAAATTTTAGAAACTTTTAATTTGTAATATTATAACTTATAATGTTTAATTTTTATTTTTAAAAACAAGCTTAAAGATTGGCCTTGAGCCTACTGAATAAGGGTTAGGCTTCAAAAAATAATCATTTTTAAAAACTAACCTTGTGGCCCATCCATTTTCCAGCTCTGGTTTTAATGTCCTATTTAGAGATCCTCCTTGTGGTTGATGGTACAGCTCACAGCTTGGACAATGGTTTGTCGAGATCAGAGTGAGCGCATCACTCTTTTAGAAAGAATTCTTCTTCCATTCCATCCCTAGGACGTTTTTATGCAAGTTCACACGTTGCACTTGCATCAGTGCATTCTAGACCTTGAGATCTGACATCACTCTTATCATCAAAATCCCTAGAGCAAGTTATGGGCATAGCTCTTGCAATGGGTCCCACCAAGCATGCCAAAGAGAGATTGTTGGCAAAAAATGGGAGTGTCATGCCCCTTTTACACACACCAGGCATGTCAAAGGAGCAAGTTCTCAATGTACAGTTGATTTCAATTTTGAGTTTCCGAAGTCCTTTCCCACAATTTTCTTGGATTGCCTAAGTTAACTCAGTGACAAATCGAGATTGCCTGACAAAATGGTAAGTTACATTGACTGAAATGGGATAAGTATAGTAAGGGGAACACGGGTTCTAGCAATGATCAGATTCTAAGATTAATGTAAGCCCAGATTGAAAGGAATCGTGCTGGGCGAGTGAGCTAGATAGTGATTGCTTGGGAGTTTGAGTTTTTGGTTGATTGAGTGATGTCCTCCCATGTCTTTGCATCTACCTCTTTCTATCATTTGGGAGTAATCATTCGTCATTCGAATTTGAATTTTGCTTGCCAAGTGGTGAGAGTAACCGTTCGCACCACTTTGGAGAGATGGAGTTCTGCACGAAGAGGAGGTGCTCTGCTTTTTTAGGAAATTGTGGGATCAAGCACTTCTGTGGGTCAACTCCACGGAATGCATAGACACCGCTCCCCTTTGTGAAATTGAATAGGGTTTTGTTAATTTGTTTTGGAAAAATGAGTTTGTATTTTCAGGGTTGTTACAATCAACATACTGGATACTGAAAAAATCCAGAGGAAAAAAAAAACGTAGAGGAGGTTGGCATTTCTATTTTATATGGAAATTAAATGTCCCTCAACGGTGGAACACTTTTCTTCAGCTTTGCATGCGAACAATGTGCATGATAATTAATTGTGAAGGGAGCAAATAGGAGGTAACGGACAGTAAAAGAGGAACTGAAGCTTTTATGTTTTAATGACCAAAGTAAAAATAAAATAATCCTTCATAGTGTAATTAGAGAAAACTTACTTTCACACCCACATATTTTCAACATCAAGAAACAAAAAAACTGAACTTATCACTAATATAGGAAGCAATGGATTCAATATAATAATCTAAAGTGTATACCATGCATACAAATCCAGGCACAACAAAAGGCAAAAGAAGGATAAAGTTAAATGATTTCATGCCAAGCATAAACCAAACTCTGAACTAAAGTGAGTAACAAAAAGAAAGCCTAGTTGTTGAACAGGATGAATAGCACCTTCTTGAAAATCTTGATAGGAAAAGACCTTGAAAGGAATAATGAACTAAAACAACCAAGATGCAAAATCAGGAATTGAAGCTTCTATGTTTTAATTACCGAATAAAAAAAAAGTGCCTCATAATATGATTTATGATTACATATTTGAAAATGAAAGTAACTATTTTCACCTGAGACTTTGACTCCTCACACAGAATAGTGCACTAGTTAATTATTAATTACAGAAGTAAATAAAAAAAATATCTTAACAAGTTTATCAAGTGTATAAACAACATAATGTCCTTATATGTCATGACAAAATATATATATTAACAATACAATGTTAATTCACTATGCATAATTTATGTAGTTCAATTGAACAATGTATAAGCTTCTCACGCATATGAATTGCATAATATCTGTATATAACATGATAAAATCTATACATTAACACCACAATGTCCATTCATTATATATAATCCAAGATACTCCCTCTTTTTTTATATATAGAAGAAAAAGAAATATATCATACAGTTTAAGAAAGTTAGCTAATCATAATAATTATATTTAAAAATAAAAAAATTAAATTAAAATATCATATGTTAATCAACATAAGCATGCATTAATTATTTCTCGTTAATGTAAATTATGAAAGGCGATTTAAAAAATATGTAATAAATATTTATTGAAATATGTAATTTTATTCATATAAAAAAAAAGTGATAGTTTATCTTACAAATGAAAACAGAGCAGTATAATGTTTTTTTAAATGAGGAGAAAATAAATTTTTTCATCAAAAAACACATTTGCATATGAAACCTGGGGTTTGCAAAATCAATTCAAAATGTTGAACCTTAAATGCGAATTTCTTGGATCTAGACTTTTAGGTGGGAATCTCCCTAATTATGTCACTTTCAAAACAACCAATTCTCGGAACTATGAGACTTCAGCGACATCCATGAGATTTTTTTCATCCACACGGACCCAGCGGAGTCAAGGAGACGCCCCCAAAATTAAAAAATAAAAAATAAAAATCGAAGCCCTTAAAGATTAAAATTACACATCTTTTTGTTTTTATCCATATTTAATATATTATCTTAATTAAAAAATTTTATTAAGATGCCTTTAATCAAGGATATTTTAAAAAA